GGCCCAGTTAGCCAGGGTCTTGTGGGGGTAAGGGAGGAGAGGAAGGGGGAGAAAGGGAAAGAGGAATGGGAAAAGGAGAGAAGAGGGGATGGGGGATAGGAAAAGGGGGGGAAGGGAAAGGTGTAGGGACGGGTTAAAGGAGAGAGATATGGAAGGGGAAAGAGAGAAGAGATGAAAAAAGAAGAGGTCCAGAGAGGGAAAGGAACTAAAAACTGGGAATCAAAAGAGAAAAGATTAAACCTAGTATAAAACGGAAGGGAATAATAAGAAAAAAAACATGAAATGCTGTACGGAAAGAATAGAAAATGTGTTAAAAGTAAATAAATAACATTAGCATAAGTATCAAATTAGAAAGATAAAGCTAATAAATTATATTCAAAGAGGAACAGCAAAAACAGAAACAAAAACCACATGAAACACAAAATAACACATCATAATCAAATAAATACAAGAACAATAACAAATAAACAAATTAATATATACAAAAAGAAAACAATGTAAATGAACGAACAAAGACATAACTAAACTAATAAACAGAAAAAAAGAGACAATAAAATTAGCCTCACCCTAACACGATGCAATTTGAAGAGAAAATATTAGGACCCAAATGGCGGGCCGATACCAAAATAAACAAAGGGTTCATTTACGACCCGAAAATAAAAGATCGTAAGTCCATAAAGTCTCTATATTTTTATCATAAACATCTAAGGTTAAACTAATAAAAAATTCAGGGTTTCGTTACTTATGAGTCAATAGCGGTCAATCGGTCGTAAGTTTAATGAGATGCGAATTTGAATCACGTTTGACAACAGAACCTTAGCATGACTGTGGTTGTGGTAGTGGTGGTGGTGGTGGTAGTATTGGTTGTGGCAGTGGTGATGATAGTTGTAGTGGTAGTGGTAATTGTGTGGTGATGGTTGTGGAAGTGATGTTTGTTGTACTTGTAGTAATAGTGGTGATGATGATAGTGATAACTGTGGAAGAGGGGAAGCCCACCCAAAGTGTGCTCCCTCACACTCAAGACTCACCTGTAGTGGTTATGTAGTCTTGGATACCTGCCTCTACATTATCAAAGATGTGTACGTTAATCACTCTTTCTGTTTATCTTTTGAATTGAATGGAATTGAATTGAAACAGTTTATTTAGCCAGAAAAACACAGATACAGAGTGGACAATAATAACAATATTAGCATGGCTGAGCCAGTTGAGAACCTGAGCTCTCTTTTAGGCACCTGATATATACTATACATTTATCTCAAGGAAGTATTATGTAACATTTAGTAACATCTGGAATAGTACACTAGCATGGTGGTAATAAGAACGTCTCATAATGTTACCACGGTTATCATTTCGATATTTATTTATTTTATCTATTTATTATTATTTTTTTTTTTTAGATATATTATAAGTATATACATAAATTAAAGTGGAATTGAAAAACATAAGTCTAATGGGGGAGCAGTACATCATGGGTCGTACAGTATTAAGGTTGAACAAAGCTGTCACGATTATGTCTAGTTGGCAAATATGTTTATTGCAATGGTAATTTCTTATCTATTTACATGATAATTTCCGATGAAATGGTTTTGATGGTATAATAAAAGCAGGTACTGTAAATATAGTAGGTATTACAAGAAATATTAATACTTAGACAATAGATATTTTTTAAGAGATGATTTAAAGGAAGGGAGCATAGTCTTTGCTCGGATGGGTGGAGGGTTAAGTGTTTCGCCGGAAGGAGGCGAGCGCCTTGTAAACAATGACATTTCTAACCACACCCTGCAAACTACAGTGTACTTAGCAAATGCTGCAGCTTCTGAGAATGGGGGGGGGTTACTACTAAGAGCAAAGACGTTGCCGAGAACAAATTCTGGCTTGAATGTCAAGTACACTAATACTGACACGTTCCTTGATAAGAGAAAGGAGTTTGAAACACAACTGAAACCAACCAGATATTGTAGGAGCTGTAGAACTGTTGTACATGAACAGGAGAATCGACCCAGAGGAATTTTAGTTCAGTATTGCTGGATATGACTCATTTACGAACCTTTCTCAAGAAAACTTGAAAGAGGGGTGTGGTTATGTATGCTAGAGAGCCAGCCAGGCGAGGGTACAGGGAGAGGATGTTTTTGAAGAGTCCAAGTGGTGTAAAATTAAAACTAAAGGGAGGAGATTTACTTATTGTCGGGTGTATCAACAGATCCCCAAACTGTGGACCACTAAATCAAAGAAACTTAAGAACCCTAATAGACAATGCGGCGATGCTCAACCCTAGCCACCTCCTTATCATGGGGGACTTTAACTATGGTAACATCGACTGGGGAAAACGAGTTCACCCCAAATGAATTGAATAACCCTGCTACTCTTTTTGTAGAAACTGAGAGATAATTTTAATTTTTTGTTCCATCATGTTAGAGACCCGACACATTACAGAGGGGAGCAAACATCCAAGCCACTAGACCTCATCATAACAAAGGAGGAGGGTATGGTGGCCAAACTGGAACACCTTGCCCCAATTGGCACCAGTCACCATATAGTGTTGTCATTCAGATTTAACTGTTACCTAGTTCAAGATAAGGCCAGGCCAAGGTGCAAATATTACAAGGGAGATTACAACGGGATGAAGGAAGAGATGAGGGGTATCCACTGGCCTGACTCATAAAGGCACAAGAACGCAGACACTACGCTGAATATCATAACTAGTAAAGTGACCCATTTGATCGATAAATATATACCCAAGACCAAACCCAGTGCCTCTAGGAATACGAGGGGATCCCTACACATGAACCATGCGGCGGTCGACAAAGTTAAGAAGAAAACCCAGAAATTCAAGACGTGGGTTGGGTCAAACGATGAGCAAGACAGGAGGATGTATGCAAGAGCCAGAAACCAAGCAAAAGATAGAGTATAGAAGGGCTGAAAAGGAGTTCCAGAGGGTGGTTGCAAGCGAGGTCAAGTCAAACCCAAAGGCGTTTTACCGCTATGCAAAGTCGAAATTAAAAAACGCGAGTAAGAGTATCAGACCTGAGGCTTGAAGATGGTAGTTACGCAGATGCTGGCCAGGATAAAGCTGAGGCATTGAACAGCTTCTTTTCCTCGGTGTTCACGAGAGGATGCGATTAACCTTCCTGCGTTTGAGGACAGGCGGTTCGACACAGCACTGACCCACATTGTGTTCACAGAAAAGGGTATTAGAAATAAACTGTCAAAGAGTGAAGTACTTCCCCATCTGGAGTACAGTCTGGTCCCCAAGATCTGCTAGAGACTATCGTTGGTTGAAATTGTTCAAAGGAGGGCCACCAGACTGGTGCCTGCACTTCGGCACCTTAACTACCCTGAGAGGTTGGAGCGCCTGAACTTGCCGAGCTTATACTACAGGCGGGCAAGGGGCGACCTAATTTAGGTGTAAAAGCATGTCAAGGGGCACTACTCAGTCGAGTGTCCTTACTTTCGGAGTGAGAGTTGTGAACTCTTGGAACAATCTACCAAAAAGTGTTGGGACGGCACCGAGTGTGAGCTCTTTCAAGACCAGACTTGACCAACAATGGAGCAGGTTCAGGTACATTCAGGAGCTGGTGCATACCCAGTACTTGCCAACAGTGCGTAACAGTGACGTGACCGATCACCCAAGCGGCTAACGAGCCGATCAGTGATGAAGAGAATAAAAGTAAAAGTAAAAGTAAAAAGTTCAGTCTCAGAAAATTTTGCTTTGAGAGAAGGTGGGGGTCACAGTAGGCAAAACAAAAAAAATAAGGGCACTGTGAACTAAAGTACTACCGCCTGGGAAGATATTGGAAGCATAATGTAATGTCTAATGCTAGACCCTGCTGCCATATGGCATCACGAAAATTGTAGCCAAGTCCCAGATTGCTGATATGACTGCTTCATTTACAAACAATTGCAGGGTCTCAATTTTTTCTCTTGCCATTGACAACACAACATACATATATTGTTTCTCACTCTTGATCTTTTTTCTTCTTTGTTTTCTTTATTATTATTATTATTATTATTATTATTATTATTATTATTATTATTATTATTATTATTATTATTATTATTAAATTTTCGCCTCCCAGGCCCAGATGTCGGTCAGTGACCTGTGCCCGGGTGGGCTAATCTCCGTTAAAAAACATGCGCCTATTATTTACATTTTATCATTTTCTAAAATAAACTTCTTAATACTGTGGTGAATTCCTGCATCCTGAGATTTAGTCTTAAGACTGAATCATATATTGTTTCTGGATTTCAGGCAACGGTGACTTATTCTACTAAAAACACGCATCGCAGGAAGAGTAGATAATGTCTACATGATGATAAAGTATAGATTTCCAAGTGTGTCTTTTGATTATTATGATAAATTGAACTGTTTCTGAAAAGCAGAAGCATTTTTAAAGAGGTTTCACAATATCAAGGAACCAAGAATAGTCTAGGGGTGCGCCTCTTGATTGGTCATGTCAAAACTTGGTTATGTCATATAGGAAAAGAACCGAGCGAGTAGTCAATAAACTCCTACCTGAATAATTAGCAACGAGATTGATGGGAGACTTGCGTGCTACTGTTGCCGTGGTCACCAATTTGATGGAATTTGCTTTATTTTTTTCCATTTGCGTAACCTGTTTTTTCTTGTTATTTTACGATATTAATATCGTTGTATAATGAAAGGATATAGTTAATATTTATTTGGAAATGAGTCTCAGTTAATGTTTAATTAACATATATTACTAAAACTTATTATTTTTAATTCTCTGGGAACTACTATTTTACTGTATACAGTAGCTTTTGGTAAAATAAAACAATTTACCATCATGACAATATAGAAGATACTCGGATCCTTGATAGTCAATGCCATAGTTAAATCGGCTTTAGTTACCCACACTAGTCCTTCATCATAGAAAACTAAGTTTATTTACTGGTAGAATGTAAACGTTCTTTTAGCATTTGTTGGAATTTTCACGTCACAGTCAACATGAGCATAGGCTAATGAGTATAGGCTTTCTGTGCTTCATACTTCCATATTGTAAATTTGAACACAATATATCAGCTTGATGTTTAGATTAGTTTTGTAATATATGTCAGTTAAATGCATAATTACATAAGTATACGACTTATTGCAAAGATAAAAAATCAGGTATATATTATATATGTTATACAATTAAAGATGATTGCAGAAATATGAGTATATAATAATGCTAATCTTCAGGAGATATAAAAGATGTATGTTTTCCAGACATCAGCACAAGTGACGAACGCTGACGCCTCCAACTGACAGCCAATACAAACCCATCAGAGAACATCAGAGGCTGAATGTACAACAGGTAGTTGAGGCAGTACAATATTGGTAATTCCTGTCAGTGTTTGGTAAGTGAAACATGGAATATATCTTTTCCTGTTAATTATAGTGTCTCATGTCAATAGTGGAACTCCTGATAGTAACTTTGGTAATTTCTGAGAACCACACTACCACCAGAATGAGTTGTTAGATTTAATATTTTTTTTTCCACAGATATTCTTATAAATATACCGTAGTAAGTATTATAAAAGGCGACAACTTTTTATTTTAATTATACATATTTTTATAATTTTCATTTTTTTCTGTTTACTATTAGCTGTAGTAGACAGGGCATGATGGATGAGGGAAGTTGTTGGGGTAAAACATGGTGAAGAACTGATCATATGACAATAAAAGGTATTATTTTCTTGTAGCTCCGTTCATTCCTGCCACTAATCTATTATCATATTCGAATAAGACGTCTAATTATAAGATAATTTTCATCTATTACATTACCGGCGGAAATGTATAATAACGGAGATAGCTTTTCCAAATAAATTTCTATTTTCTTCCATTATTTCCCGCCATTATCGTCTGCCTCTCACCTAACACTGCGTGTCTCTCGCGTCTCCTTCATAAATCATGACGCACATGCGTACCCGTACACGTCACGCGGCCAATCAAAAGTGTTTTTGCTAATTCAAAGTATATTTGGCCCAATCAAAATCGAGCAAGACGGAATGTAAATATCGCAAAGACCAGTTAGCTAAGTTAGGTCAGGTTAGGTTTGGTTATTGTTTTTCTAGTGTTTTACTGTGTATTTGTTAGTCGCTTAGGCACTTTTTTTCTTGGAAAACGTCAAACGAAAAAAAATCGCAAAAAAACCCCCGGCTAATTTCCGCCAAAAAGGAAGGTCATATTCGGTCTCAGCACACACAAATGCACAAGAAAAATATATTTTTAACTTGCTACAAGTGAACGGAGCTACTATAAATTCACCCTTACTTTAATGATAAGAACCTGTGGAAAAAATTTAGCCAAATCGAACAACTATTTGTGGTGGTAGTGCTGTTCTCAGACATTACCGCAATTTCTATGTTCGTCTGATTTAGGGTTTTTTGGAAGCGTTCAAAACCCAATTTAGAAATAAATTGTTTTTGTTTCGCACCATAAGTGCACCAAAATTTCTAGACGATACTACAGTATTTGCATGATACTAAACACAAAAATGGAAACGACAATGCACATAACCTAACAGAGCCTGACCTAACCAACAACCTTACGAGATAGAGAAAAACGGGAAAAATGGGAAGTTGTACTGTTTTTATTAGTTAAAATCATCCAGACAACAACTGTGGAAAACATAAACAAATTATATACTGTAAATGTCTTCGGGTGCTAACCGTCTGCACCACTATTAATGCTAATTTTTGGTTAGAGAAGAAAAGTCAGTAATACTGTACTTAGAAATACTTGCTCAGGTAAGCAAGTAAAGGTACTTGTACAGTCACCCAAAAAACTATACTGTATGTACCTGGAGGGATCGATAAATTTCAGAAGGAACACTGCGACTCATGATGTCTCAGTAAGGTTGTCAAAATCCTTCATCTGTAGTATTATGTTTTGAGTGACTGTTCTATAACCTCCTTCATGGAGGGAGAGGATTGTGACAGTTAGTAACACATGTTACAGCATATGGTACAGGATAAAAGCAGGCCATTCTGTATCATAATATCACCATTTGGCCTGCCTGCATCACAAGCCCAAGATGACAGCAGCTGCTGGTGAGTACAGTACAGGGTATAGTGTATACAGTACAGTAGTATATTTTATTAATTTACAATATATTGTACGTGTACAGTGGGGTTTGCATAAATAAATACAGCTCTGTGTGTCTATGTGAGATGCGTAGTTTAGACTCGGGAAAACTTTCCCTAGTACCTGTACCCGGAAAAAAAATTCTGGGTATGAGAGAATTTGTCTCTATACCTGAAAATCTCTGAAACCCGGAATTGCTCTGCGCCAATTATTCTGGCTGACAGGGAGATTACTGTATCAGTTTCATCATTTATCAGGTTTACTGTCAGAGTAGTAATATTTTTATTAATTTTATGAGTATTTTGTAACAAAAAAGGTACCAAAATGTTGCTCCCTGAATAATGAACCAATAATATTGTACGGTATTCTCAAATTTGTTTTCAGCCAACACTGTAATGACCATCTACAACCTTTACTTGTTTGACCGGGACGGCCAACTTCTTCACTATGCTGAGTGGACACGCAATAAACAATCTGGAATGACAAGAGAAGAGGTTAGCAAATGAACATGTTTTAATGCCAGCACCATCAGTCACCTCGGTAACATTTTGTTTTCCGAGTTGTGTTATTATTACACAATTTAATTACCAACAATTGATATACCTGTAATATCTCTAATGTTATGTTCATTGAATATTAGGGGTTTAAGTTTCATCCAATACCCTACAGCAAATTGAGAATACCTGCACTCTAGCACCACTCCATGTAGTAGAGATTAGATTTAGATGGAGCGCAGTGGGTCGCTGTTCAGTCCATCCTTAAAATGTATACCATAATTTAAATTCTGTTGAACAACTGAATTATTGACTGTCACTATCAAAGGTTCAAGGATTTGAAGCATCAGTATAACAGCTCCTGTGGGTAATTTGTAAAGAAATACAGATTTTGCTGGCAATCATAGAACCACATACAATGGTAGAGTACATGTAATTTAGTTCATGATGTGATTAGTGATATCCTTCATCTGAATTAAAAAAATGCAAATGCTAATGAAGTGTAATGGTTGGCTGGTAGTGTTTGATTACCTCAGGGAGTTACTGTACAACCCTGCCTTGCCAGCTGTTCCCACCCTGTAGATAATGTTAGGAAGGGCATTCATCCATAAAACTTTGCTTCAACATACCTGATGGCAACTGGGACACCAAAGCTGTGCCCGTCCCTGGTCTCGGCTGCATTTTCTAGGCTGGTATTCTTAGACAGCACACCTATACAGTATTTTGTTTTTTCAGTTTGAGAATTATATTTATTTGGTGTTAAATATCACACTGTATGCATCCAGAATGCAGTACAGTATTGACATCATGATTCCTATTCACTTGTGTTTTGCAGGAAGCTAAGTTGATGTATGGAATGATATTCTCAATCAAATCATTTGTCACAAAGGTAAGTTATTCATTAATTTATTTTAGTTGTGTTAGTGTATGCACTTGTGTATACTATACTATACAGGGTTGCCACAAGTCAGGGGAAGTCAGAAATATTTTTTTTTGAAAAGGTCTGGGAATTCCATATACTGTAAATGGATATCTCTGGTTAATTGTTCTTCTTTCCACTTTTATTTCCCTTGACGGGTGGTGTAAGGCGACTGATACTTAACTGTCACTCAAACTAATAAATAGGATATATTTCTCTTGATTTCCAACTTAACGAGGTACAGGTACTGATAAGAGTAACATCTTATGGTACAATCTCAGTGAATTTAACCAACTCCTATAGTGCTGTTTCTATACTGTATGTGTATTAACTTTTTGTCTAATATACTGTATCTTTCTTTAAATTCATTATTACTGTAATGATTATGATATGATGACAGTGATCCCTCGGTTAATGAGCGCCTCGGTTTACAAAATTTTGGTTAACGAATTACCTTCCATAAGATTCTTCACTTCGGTTAACGAGCAATCCCTCGATTAACGAATTCTTTACGAGCGCCCCTCAACATATTTTCGCTTGCTCACTAGCTGTCGTATTAGTCCGCCAATACAGTAATCGGTTCTAGGGCTTAAATTCCTTACTATTTTAGTAAATATCAAGAAGTTTGTAGTATTCAATAATTTTAAAAGTCTTATAGTATTAAAATTTTTAGTCATTTTAACAATTGTTTTACATAATTGAAGTACAGGGAAACTAGTTTTAAGCGCCAAACAGCCTGTCAACACACCAAACAGGCGTCAGTCTCTGTGTCTTTTCAGTGGGGGTAACATCTTGCTTCAGACTCTCTTCAACATAAACGATTTTTTCCGTTTTTACAGTGAAATTATTGGTCATTTTGAAATTTATTTTACATATTGATGATATATAGTACAGTATAGCGCAGTGCAGTGTTGATTTAAGGAAAATATTCTTTATTTACAGCAATTAAACTTAAAATATCACGTGTTGAAATTGTTTTTGAATCCAGCATGGGTCCCAAGAAATCAAGAAAAGCAATTTCAATCCAGGTTAAACAGGAAATTTATTAAGAAACATGAAGAAGGCATTAGAACAAATGTGCTTAGCAAAGAATATGGCATGTCGACATCAACTGTGTCGACAATTCTTTCACAGAAAGACAAATTCAAGGAAGTGAAAGTAAGTGACAAATCTACCAGAGGGTTTAAAGGTAGATCCTTAATAGCGTAAACAGAGAGGTTACTTCTCATTTGGATTTGGGAAAAACAAATGAAAGGCGATTCCGTTTCGACCGAATTTATTTGTGAAAGAGCCAAGGAGATTTACGAACATTAAAGGCAGATCAGCCTTGTTCTTCAGGCACAGAGTTTGAAGAGTTTAGGGCCAGCAAGGGCTGGTTCGAAAAATTAGGAAAAGAAGTGACATTTTTAGTGTTGTTAGGCACGGTGAGGTTGCCAGTGCTGATAAGGAAGGGGCAGCAAATTTTTTAGTGGAATTTAAAGAACTGGTGAATAAAGAAAATTATCTTCCACAGCAAGTGTTCATTGTGGACGAAACTGGGCTGTTCTGGAAAAAGATGCCCAAAAGGACATTCATCACCAGAGATGAAGCCTCTTTACCTGGGCATAAACCCATGAAAGACCGTCTCTCTCTATTGCTTGGTGCCAGTGCTTCAGGGGATTTCCGACTGAAGCCTATGCTTGTCTACCACTCTGAGAACCCCAGGGTGTTCAAGCAACAAAAAGTGGTAAGAAAACGGCTTGGAGTTTATTGGAAGTCCAACCGTAAGGCATGGGTGACATGACAGCTCTTTAATGAATGGGCAGTTGAGGTGTTTTGCCCTTCTGTGAAGAGCTACATAACCACCAATAAACTTCCTTTAAAGGCTCTTCTCCTAATGGATAATGCCCCTGGTCATGACCCTCAACTTGCCAGCACTTTGGAGTCTCAATTTGACTTTGTCAAAGTGTTGTTTTTGCCTCCCAACACTACATCAATCATACAGCCAATGGACCAGAATGTGATCAGCAACTTTAAGAAGCTGTACACGAAGAAAATTTTCAGGAGGTGTCATCAGGCAACTTCCACTGATCCTGAACTAACACTGGCACATTTCTGAAAGACACAATTTCACATCCTGGAGGCTGTAAAATTGATTGTGTTCTCATGGCAAGAAGTCTCCACAAGATCCCTCAATTCTTCATGGAAAGCACTGTGGCCATCAGTAGTCCATGATTTTGAGGGATTTGAGGAAGAAGCAGAGTTGGACCAGGAGATTGTGTCCATTGGTTAGTCATTGGGCCTTGAAGTGGAGGAGGATGATGTAGAAGAGCTTGTGATGTCTCGTGAGCAGGAACTTAATCCTGAAGACTTGCAGCAACTGGATGAGATTTTAGAGGCTGACAGTGGTGAGGAGGAAAAGGAAAGTGATGACCATATGTCAACTTCAGATTTGAAAGATGTTCATTACTGGGAGAAGTTCAGGAAACTGGCTTCAAGGCACCCAGATGTGAAAAAAGCAGAACTTGCTTTGTGTAATGTTGAGGACACAGTGGTCTCCTTCTTCAAACATCAGTTAATGATGAGGAGGAGAGATGCCCCACAAACCAAAATTGACAGTTTCTTCACTAAAAGGCGGCAGGAAACAGATGCTAGTCCTCAGCCTTCCACTTCAAGAAGGAGAGAGGATGTTCCTGCTGGAGAATCTGTCAGTCCAGAGGTTCCTGACATTTTCATGGAAGGTGACTCACCTTCCAAGAAGCAGTAAAATGCTTCACCTCCACTTCCTCCTCTTCTCCCTTCTCCTCCTCCACCTCCCACTTCAAATTCACATCATCATCATCCAGGAGCCTTCTACATACACACCTCAAAGTAAGTGTACCTTACTACTTTTTTTGTTGACTTTATGCAATTTTCGGTGAGTTGGAACCAATTACCCAAAAACCCATTGAAACAATGGTTTCGGTTAACGAATTTTTCGGTTAACGAGCAACCTTCTGGAACGAATTGTGCTCGTTAACCGAGGGACCACTGTATTTAACTTGGTATATTCTGTATCATTGTAAATTAATGTGAATATTAAAGGTTCACTTTGTATTTTATATACAGTATTTAAGTTAAGGATGAAAGTTGCAGAAGTCATGTGGATACAGCACTTGACTTCTAAAGAGTTATAGAACCTATTTGTGCTAAAAAAACACAGTTTTTCATTTTATTGGACACATTACTGTACAGTATTTGCACTTTTTCACACACCACTATTTTACTTATCCTTCATCTCACCACATATGCTGGTTAATATTTCACAGATGCTCTTTCTTATGAAAACAGTTTTTGCTCTTGTGTATATACAGTAGCTTGTTTGATCTAACATTTTTAGGACAATATTGTGAGGCTGGAGGTTAAATCACCCCTTGCCCAAATGTAATTTTGGCATTGGTTGTTTAGCCAGTGTATATGTTAATAAAAAATGAGCTTAGTGAAGTTGAATATTTCACACAGTTTTACAGCTCTTCAGTTAATTCATCTGGTGATTGTTTCTTATTTACTGTGCTGTACTTGAGTTCAAAACCAGCTTTCCTTAAAACAGGTGTCCCCTATAGATCTGAGAGAAGGTTACCTCACCTACACCACCAACAAGTACCGTCTTAACCTTTATGAGACACCATCAAGATTCAAGTTCATTCTGAATACTGATGTTCATGCTCAGGGCATTAAAGAACTTCTCCACCAAATATACACACAGGTAAGTGATGCAGTATACTGTACTGTATTACATGAATTAATTGTCTCATAGAGGTGGTATGCTGCTGAACAGTTAGGTATACTTTTTAGAATGTAAATTTACCTTTTTTGTATTTCTATACAGAATGATGTTGAATCAGGTTGATTACAGTAAAATAATTATTTGTCTGTGATTTTACATTTAGTTATACAGCTCCTCCCCGACTTACGACCTACTTGACTTACGACCACCCTCACTTACGACCTGCCTCAGTTGTACCAAAATTTGGTCAAATTACGTATTTTCAAGTCCCAAAGTCAGTACACAGACAAAATTTTCGTTTGTAATTCACTTTAAAATGGCTAGCAAGATTAAAAGTGAGTGTTTTGTGATGCTGAGAAGAAAAAGAGACATCTATTTTAGATTTTCTAAGTATTATTTAAGCATTTACGACTTACGACCATTTCGACTTACGACCTGGATGTCGGTCCCTAACCTCGTCGTAAGTCGGGGAGGAGCTGTACTGTACAGTGTTCTTATTTACCCTGAGGCATCACCTTTTTGTTTATGAATGTTTAAGTGAACATTCGCCTTATCTACAATATCATTTCTGAAATAGTTCTTGAGATTTAGCCGTGTCAGATTATTTCATCGACAGGATTCTCAGATCCAGGATTTGCAAGTTTTCTATGAATATTTTGTTCCAACCCATAACTTTCATGTACTTTGTACACCTAGCTTTTTCTTGTTATAATGCTGAGGATCAGTTTCTGTGGCCGGACACTTAAAAAGATATTTATTATGAATACATACTGTATACAGCTACTCCTCGACTTACGACATACTCGACCTACGACCACCCGGACATACGACTGCCTCAGTCGTACCAAAATTTTGTCAAATTACGTATTTTCGAGTCCCAACTTTAGTGATTATGCTGTGTACTGACAAAATTTTCGTTTGTAATTCACTTTAAAACGGCTGGCAAGCTTAAAAGTGAGAGTTTTGTGGTGCTGAGAAGAAAAAAAGACACCCATTTTAGATTTTCTGTGTATTATTTAAGCATTTTCGACTTACGACCTGGATTTGGGTCCCTAACCCCGTCGTAAATCGAGGAGCAGCTGTATTCTCACAATTCACTTAGTTGTGTGCAGTATACAGTATACAGGGTAGTATTTAAATTTATTTACCATTAGGTGCTCCTCTACTTAAGAATGTTCAACTTACAAACCTTCAGAGATACAAACATCATCACTGAGGGGGGTTATCTGCCAGAACAGGTGTTTAATGTGGATGAGACTGGATTATTTTGAAGAAAATTCCAGATAGAACAAACATTACCTAAGAGGAGAAGAGTGAGCCAGGTTTTAAGGCTGTATTAAAGGGTATAGCTGTACTAAATATCCATAATCTTTTCATTTTTTATAATATGTTTGGTATCTACAAGAGTAAAGTTGGATTTACAAACAAGCCTCAGGAACAACTCGTTCGTAAGTAGAGGAGCACCTGTATACAGTATTTCCTACAGGAGGCGCACACACAAAATGTAATACAGGCCTAATGTGTTGCTTTTCTTCTGACAGGTGTATGTGGAGTATGTAGTGTGCAACCCACTTTGTCAGCTCAATAAACCCATTGAGAGTGAACTGTTTGCTGCCAAACTTGATGAAGTTGTTAAACAAAGTCCTGCATATGCATCAAGACCAGCATAGATGATATGACAATATTTGTGGAATTTATAACGTCTCATTATACAGTATTGTTATAGAAACAATAGATATTACTTCAGAGTAAGTGAACTGTCTTACAGTATGATATAGCACTCTTGTTTTAATTTACATAATAATGTTCAAAGGAATAAACGGGGGAAAAGAAGCTGAAAACTATGGTTTGAACGTGTCTTTCTTATTTTTGGAATTGATTTTTGTAAAATTAAGGTCCATGGTTCTGATTTACAGTACAGCACAGTGTACAGTATACATATACACAGTATATACTGTACAGTATATTGAACTGTATGCAGAGGCATTTACATTATTAATACTGAATATTCCAAATTTATTAAAAACTGATAATAAATGCCAATATAGACTGATATTTATGCAAGTTTCAGATTTCTGCACCATTTTTTAACATACTGTACGTGTACTGCATATATTTAATTTCAGTGTACTGTATACATTAATTATGAACACTAAATCTAAATTAACTGAACATGCAGAAATTATAATGACTTTTAGATAGATCTAATCTGTACTAGTATAATACAGTACTGTACTGTATACATTTCAGTAGGTATCCCTCGTTTAATGTTGGGGTTGTGATCTTGAAAAACCTAGCGTTAAGTGAAACTCGCTAAACAAGGGGTAACAGCAAAGTACGGAAGGTGAACAACAGATTCAAACAGCAGGGTGGTAAACACTAAGTACAGTAGTATACTGTAATTTACTCCCAAATAATAATAATAAACGAGTTTGTTATAAACGTTTTTAAAGTTAAACAATTGATTTATTAACACCAAACTTCTATATAAACAATGTTGTTCAGAGTTAAATGATTTGGTAAGCAAAAGGTAAAAAACATATTGTGGGGTGCAGACTGTGTATAGATCTACACCTATTTAAAAAAAGTAAAGAGAAAAAAAAGAACAGTACTTAGCTACTTTCTGTTGCCTATAGAGTTGTCTTCTGCTATCACTGCATACACTGTCTCTCCCTGTGAATGGTGTATTGTAGGCACAGTTTCAGTCCATGAGAAAGCACACAAACAAAATGAAATTTAAAGTCTGTGGCACCTATGACACGAATAGGTCTCTGCTGGCAGTGGTGCCTTACCAGCTTGCTTGCCAATATGTATTCACTTTAAGTTATTTACAGCCTCTTCCGCAGTCACTGATGACACTATGAACTGATTTTCCTAGAATCACAGTACTACACTCCCTGGTTGATCTTTATCACAGCCGTGACCAAAACTCTGTAAAAAAATTAAATAAAAGATTTGACATATGGCAGTGGTTTTGTGGTTATAGGCTTCGTGACCTTGGCTGTACCTCCAACTCGGTGGAAATTGAGTTTTCAAAAATACAATCGCGTCTAACATTAAAAATCCTACATCGATTTACACTTTCACATCACTAAGATGATCTTGATGTTCTTATGTCCTCAATGTTAATGCCCACCTCCCAAAAACCCCTCTTTTGACCCCTAAAATCAGTCAGGACCCCCAGTTGTATGGGCTTGTGGGGAACAGGTTGTTTGGGTTCACACTCAGGATGGGATGGAGAAAGGAAACTCACAATGTGCTCTCTGTATACATGTATTGGATGTACAATGCAGCTTGGTGCTGGGAAGTGGCAGCGTGGTTACAAGCGTGATGTAGAGAGAGCTGGTTGGTGAGGATGCTCAGAGGAGGATAGCTTGTGGGTCGCCATGCTCGCCGGCGGGAGCGAGGGCCGCCAGGCAGCGGCAGAGGAAGAGGTGTTGCTTGCTGCAGCTGTAGCTAGAAGAAGAGGGAGGGCACCACGAGGTCAGGTCTTAAATAGCGGGGGTAGGCGTGGCTTAATAGCTGACCTCCGTGATGTATGGCGGCGCTGGTTGACCCAGACCACGAGGCACACTGGGGAATTTGCGGGGTCAGCTACTCAGCGACAAACAGCGTTTGTAGGGGAGAAATCCACTACAGGCTCTCACCATCTGAGTAATACTTTCAAAAGCGTTCCCTCACTTCCTTTTTTAGCACTACACTACTGGGTGTATAAGCATCTCAAGGGGCACTACTCGGTCGAGTGTCCTTACTTGGAGCTGGTGGACGCTCGCCCCACAAGGGGTCACAGCTCAAGATTGAAGAAGCAGCAAGTCTAGAAAATTGTGAGGACAAACTGTTTCCGAGTGAAAATTGTGAACTCTTGGAACAATCTACCAGAAAGTGTTGTGATGGCACTGAGTGTGAGCTCTTTCAAGACCAGACTTGACCAACACTGAAGCAGGTTCAGGTACATTCAGGAGCCGGTGCATGCCCAGTACTTGCCAACAGTGCATAACGGAGACGTGACCGATCGCCCAAGCTGTTAACTAGCCGATCAGTGGTGAAGAGGATAAAAGTAAAAAGTAAAAAATATATTAGGAGATATTCTGAATTCAATAGTCAATACTTTTTACCATACAAAAATGCATGAGTACAATACAGTACTGCATTAAAGAAAACGTATTGGAATTTCTGATGAAAAGGGGGGTTTAAACCCCCTAGACCCGCCCTTGGGCTTACTAGCATTGTCCTTACATACGACTACGAGTATTGAGTTTTAAAATCTTCCACTTTAGTGTTGAATAACATATTGTTGATTGTATTTTATTTGAAATTGCGAAGATTCATACAGTACAAGCTTACACACGTAAAAATTTACTGAGGATAAATATCACATAAATAATTAATACTTCAGATCTATATAGTGGTGCGACTGGTGCCATGTTAACAAGGTCATTGACAACAGTCTGTGTCTGGCATTTATATAGTTTGAGAAACTCCAGGTGTAAGGAACAATGGTGGGATCATACTAAGGCCACTGACCACCTTCCTTCTGCATGGCCACCTCTTGGGGGTGGCCATTAGGTAAATAAGAATGTATCACCTGTCAGTCCTCCAAGATCCTACACATTCTCTATTATTTAGTGTTAACAGAAAACGAAAGCCACTGAATATATTAAATGACTAACTTAGGTAAATGGACATTTTTTATTAATAAACCATTTCCATTAATCTCTTTACTATTAGACGCCACTTTTAATATTTTTGGGGGCTAGAGCAAGATTATTCCATTCAATACAGAGAAGCCCCTCGTACCCTAGAGCTTAATAATATAGTATAATGTGCTAGAGAAGGTAAACATGACACACCACGTACTATCCTTTGTTGTATTAAATTTACTCTAAACTATATAAAATAGTGTGGAGAATACGGGCCGAAACGTGTACTTTTCGTGTTTTTGAAGCTTGCATTGCTTACCACAGTGAACTGAATGAATGCAGGACGTCTGCATATTAAGTTGCCCTACCACACTAATCTGTATGAAACAATGTGAAAGATCAAGGGCGTAGATACAACCGTAGATACCTTTCAAAGAATACAGTACAGTGATTGATGATCAACGTAAATTCTACATATCCAAAATATTCAGAAAATAATAAGATTTCAATAAATCCTACAATAAAGTTATTTACAATTTTTACCTTAATATCCAATCATTAAGATCCCATGTTTTCTAGTGGCTAGGATACCTGGCTTTCACCCTGGAGGCCTGG